TGGAACGCCTCCTGGAACATTTCACGTTCATCGCCCTCCCGAAGCGCGAGCTTTTGTGTTCCCTGAGGGCATGTTACGATTTCGTGTCGGCCAAGGTCATGGGGCCCCTGCCCCTCTGGTCCAGTGTGGAGCGCGAGTTGAAGATGGTGCAGGGCCTGTTGATTTTTGCTCGGAGGCACTTGGGGTCTGCGTGGGACTTGAGGGTGACCGCCTTCGACGCCTGCGAGAGCGGGTGCGCGACAGTGGAGATCACCGCCAATATAGAGTAGATTCGGCAGAGCGGTGTCTGGCACGAGCGCTGGCGATACAAAAGAGGAGACCGTGTTGAAGACCCCCTTGTCCACCAGCCTCGGCAACGGGCTTTCTTGGACATCGCAGAAAAAAGCACGAGGATCCGAATGGTAACGACCCAGATCAAAACCCTGTGTCCCCTGAGGCGCCCCACAGGTTCGTAGAGGGCCTGACCTGGAAGACCACAAATTACCAGCCCATCTTCAATCCAGAGGCTATCCACCTTTCGGAGATGCGGGGTTGTCTTGGTACCATTCGCAAGCGACTCTTGGGTGATCAGTCCGGGTGGCACAAGAATCATCTTGTTATGGGGGACAATTTGGGGCTGCTGTTATCTCTGTCAAAGGGGCGATGTCGTAACCCTACTCTCCTGATGTTGCATCGTCGAGCGGCCTCTTGGGTGCTTGCCACTGGCTTAAGGTTTCTTGGCCGGTGGCTGCCGTCGGAAGTTAACCTGGCGGATGGGCCGTCCAGGAGGCGCGAAGCGACGCGCGACTTGGGCAGCTGCGGGCGATCGGCACCTCACGAGATCTCAGACCCACATCCGTCCACCGAACCCCCAGGAAGAGATTGCGACTCGGAGTCATCCGAGACGAGGGAGCCAGAGTGTGATAGTGCGTCGGGAGAGGCCCCTTCTGGCCTCTCGAGCGCGGCCGACGACTGGAGCAAGGCAGGCCGCGCCAGCCGAGGACCTGAAAGTGTCCGTTGCGATCCTGGCTGTTGCGCCGGGCGCTGGCAGGGGGCACCCCATTCTGGGGCGGCTCGAGCGGGCCGCCGAACTCAGCCCGTTCGAGATCGAGGACGAGCACCTGGCAAAGGCGGCCTACCGCATGAAGAAGTATGGCAAGCTTCGGGACACCAGCCAGCAGCGTGGGACCCTGGAGCAAGCTTCGCTGCAGCCCCGGACGCGAGCCCAGCACGCGGACTACATCGACAATTTCATGGTCGCGGAGGGCCTGAAGGACTTGGACGTCGCGCCGCCCGTGCTGGATGTGATGATTGTGCATCACATGGACAGGATGTTTCTGGAGGGAAAGGCTGCGGGCTCTGGCGAGAAGCTGCTGGCGGCGGTGCAGTACTACGTGCCCGCGTACGGCAATCGGGGGGAGGCTGTGCTCCGTCGGACTGTGCGAGCACTTCGCGGATGGCTACTGTCGGTACCAAGCCGCGCGCGGAGGCCGCCCCCACGGTACGCGGCGGCGGGGATCGCGACGGGCCTGATGCGAAATCATGGGGTAGACTACTCCTTGTGTTGGCTGCGGATGGTGGACGCCTACCTTCGCCCCGGAGAGCGCCTGTCCCTGCGCCCGAACCAGCTGCTTAAGCCGACGACTCAGGAGCACATGACCAGCCTGGCCATCCTACTTCATCCCGCGGAGGACGGGGCCCCGAGCAAGACAGGGGGCGTGGACGAGAACCTGCTGATAAACAGGCAGTGGCTCGCCCAGCTGTTGGTGGACTACTCCGAGACGCGGCCCACGCAGGGCTCCCTCTGGGGCTCGACCTCATCCGGACGCGCGAGAAGTTCATCGACGTTTGCCTCGAGCTGGAGCTGCAGCAGTGGAGCCCCGTGCTCTGCATGGGGCGACGCACCGGGGCGTCCCTCGACCGCCTAGAGAACAGGATGAGCCTGTCCGAGGCGCAGAAGAGGGGGCGATGGCGGTCCACCGCCAGTGTCAGGCGGTACGAGAAGCGGGCGCTGGTCCAGGAGGTCTTCAACAGCCTCGGGGCCGGCGTGCGCAGGTTTTGCCTGGCCAGCGAGAAGTCGCCGTTGGCCGAGCGCGAGAGGCGCGTAGGCCAGCTCCACCGCGCCAGAGCGCCCGACAGAAGATGGGCGCTTTTTCGCAATGAAGTTTTCAGTGGTCAGGGCGAGTTCACCAAGGCTGTTTGCCGCCAGGGCTGCAAGTGTTTCAGTTTTGACGTGCTTCAAGGGCCTGGGGGAGATCTGTTTCGAAAAGCTGTCCAGAGGAGGATTCGGCTTCTCATCAAAAGCCCTCAATGTTTCGGTGTACTCCTGGCGCCTCCTTGCACGACGTTTAGCATTGCCAGACGGCCCGCCATTCGTACCCGAGAGCACGTATACGGCGTGCCCAACGGTTGCGAACGCGATCGTCTTAAACTCGAACAAGCCAACTATCTCGTTCATCAAACTATCCTTCCATGTAAACTGTCAACGCAGTTCGGCGCGCCGCTCATGTTAGAAAACCCGCAGACCAGTCTCCTTTGGCAAGTTCCAGAAATAAGACACTTTCTTGCCAAACCAGAGGTTGATTTCAATACATTTCATATGTGTGGATCTGGTGCTCGGTGTCGCAAGGCAACCTCGGTTATGAGTTTCGGCATCTCCAACATCTCGTCGATCGTTCGTGTGTGCCAGAGTCGTCCACCAGCGCCATGCAGTTTCTCTAAGCAACCGCATATCATTCCCTCCGGCGCAGACCCGTCGGGAGTCAAGAGGACTCGGCGGGCAGCCGCGTATCCTAGACGCTTTGCCACGAAGATGGCGACCTTGTTCGTTGATACTGCCTTCACTAAGGAGCTTGACAAGCAGCGAGATTGGTTCCGTCTGCGACATGGCCTTGTTCGCTCGTGGTCATGATGTCTTGTGTTCCTCTTCTTTTTCCCCGACCCGCCCTCCCTGTACCACTTCGTGACTTGCGAATTCTGGAGCACTGTCGTATATCAAGAGCGCTGCGCGCGGGGTTTCACGAGTTTGACTCGTTAATACTGCACCGTGTGAACAGAAATGGGGTCAACAACAATTGAAACGGAGATTATATGTATGCTGGCACGGGAATCATTTGAGTTGAAGAGGTTCGTTCTCTCCGTAGTTCTCTTTCTCTCCCACCCTACAGTCCCCGCTCCCTCCCGAAAGTTTAGGGCTCACGTACCTCACAAGTCTGGCACCCAGCAACTATTCAAGCCTACGCTCCGTGGCGGAGCACTGTTGTATATCAAGAGCGCTGCGCGCGGGGTTCCACGAGTTTGGACCGTTGATGTTGCACCGTGTGAACAGAGATGAGTTCAAAAACAATTGGGACGGAGATGAAGTTTAGTTCCCCCTCGGAGGCTCGAAAATGACGTGCTGGTACCAACCTGGGGCGCTCTTGGGGCGCTCTCGGCGCTCTTGGGGGCGTCTTGTGTCCTCCTTGGCCCCTCGCGGTGCTCGGTTGGGCCGTCTCGTGGCCACCTTGAGGCCCCCAAGAGCCCATCGGAAGCGAAACATGCGGGAAGGTACGACACACACAGTTGTTCCCCAGGTGTTGGAGCCACGTTTGCAGAAGCAAGTCGCAGGGCAGCCGTCTAGGGCCCTGCCTCAGCGACGTAGCGCCTGGACGAGCCAGGCGCCTCGGCAGGCGCCCGCGCAGACGCGGCCCGCCTGCGCCGCAGCGCGAGCCCGTGGGCCGGCGGCCGCCTCGCTTCGGGGCCCGCTCGCTCGGCCATCTGGCTCCGTCGCCCCTCGGCCGGCCCCCGCCAGCCCGCCGTGCTCTGCGCTGCGGCCGTTCCTTCGGCCGTCGCCGCCCGTCGCCCCCCCATCGCTCGCTCGCGGGCCCCTCCTGTGCCGATGCGCTTGTGTGTTGTCGGGGAGGCAGGCCAAAGTCGAGAGCCCTTGGTCCCGCCCCTTTTCCTCCTCCTCCTCCTCCTCCTCGTTCCTCCGCCCGCCTCCGCCTGTGCGTGGCCCTTCCGTCCGCCTTCCTTCTCCCTGCCTCCTCCGTCACTTCGCGACTTAGCCATGTCCATGCTCAGTTCCTCATTCGTTCCTCCCCCCTTCGCTCCTCCCCCCTCCCCACCCTCGTCACTGGGACCCTCCCGAGACAGGCTGTTGTTGCCGGCAGGGCCCGGCGAGGGCACCCGAATGCCGAAGACGTCCCAGCAGCCTTCCGCCGAGGAGACCAGGGCCCCGCCCACCCTTCCCTCGCTTCCTCGAGGAGTAGGAGAGGGTCCTAGCAGCCCAGGGGGTGGTCATGTCGCTCTGTTATCTTCAACAGCGCCCGAGGACCGACCCATTGCCCCTGTCTCTCTCTCTCTCTCTTTCTACCTCTCTCTCTGCAAGGGCGGCGAGATTTCAGTTCGTGCAACAGCTTAGCGAGCAGCTAGGTGACATGTGGACAGATTTCTGGATCTACGTGCCGGGACTGGTGCGACGCCGAGCTTATACGCGTCAAGTTTCGAGCGTGGAGCTCGCCTGCTTCCAGTCTCTCCAAGGAGGGTTTGGCGCTAACACCTGCATGCGGCATTTGGACGCAGCGGCAGCGAACTCGCACCGCGCCCACAGCCTGAGCGCGGGCGCCGCCAGGCGAACTGAGTGCAAACCGGCGAGGAAGGAGAGGACGGCCGCGGAGGAGGAGAGAGAAGGTTCGACGCGACAAGATCACGCTTCCAAAATAAGCCCTCTCACTGCCTCCCTTGCCTCCATTAAGCCCACCCTCCCGACCGTCCTCCTCGACTCTCCTCCTCCTTCCTTTTTTTTTGTAACATTCCTCCTCGTCTTCCCCCCCTCCTCCTCCTCCTCCTCCTCCGCTTCCTCCTCCTCCCTCTCCCCCTCCTCCCTCTCCCCCTCCTCCTCCTCCTCCTCCTCCTCCTCCTCCTCCTCCTCCTCCTCCTCCTCCTCCTCCTCCTCCTCCTCCTCCTGTCGCCTCCTCCTCCTCCTCCTCCTCGACCCTCGCCCTTGGCCCCCCTCCTCGATCACCTCCCCCCCCGCCCCCGAGGCGGCGAGGCCAGCGCCCCCGTCCATCGCGCCCCCGCCCCACAGCGTGAGCGAACCGCTGGTGCAGGAGAGGCGCCAGTTCTGGGAGCGCGTGGCGCGCGGCCCGGTCACCTGCCCGCCGGCCGCCGCTCGGGCCTCCGCCGCGGCCGCCGCCAGGGCGGCCAGGCCACGACGGCGGCGACTCTCCCAGCCTCGGGATGCTGGCCAGCAGCTGCGCCTCGCCGAAGGCGTTCCCGGGGCGTGCCCGGATCGTCCCGGACGGCCGCCGGACGTCCGAGCTTTGAGCGAAAAGCCAACTTCGGCGGCGAGCGACAGGGGGCAAGCGAGAAGGAGAAGTCCTTCTCGGAGGGCGGCGGGACTTCTCAGGAGCCCTCGCGCCTTCTGAGGAGTGTGCTGCGTCTTCGGGGGAGGCCCAGAACGCTCCTCAGAAGGCGGGGGGACTTCGGAGCCTCCTCTGAGAAGGCCAGCCCCTTCTCACTTCCAGGCGATCGCAAACATAGATCATTAGCGACGGGTCCCGTTTCCATGGGAAATCGCGGAGTTCCGCCGCCGAGCGAGGCGGCACCGGCCGCACGTTGGGGAGGGCACCTCCCCCGATCCATGGATTTGGCGACCGCGCGCCAAACCCAGGGATCGTTAATCCATGTTTGCGCGCCCCCGACCTCCGAGCCTCCTCTGAGAAGGCCCGCCCCTTCTCGCTTCCCCCCCTCGCTCGCCGCCGAATGCACACGCGCAAGGCAAAGGGCCCTCCCGATGGGCTGCGCCGCGCGCCTGCGCCCGAAGGAGTGCGGGCTCGGGCGGGAATCCCGCGGGGCGCCGTGCTCGGGGCGGACCGCCGCCCGCGCCGGCCCGGCCATGGACAGCTCGTGCACGGGCACGTCGTCCAGGGGCGTGGTGTTCTGGAGGCGGTCTCCATCTGCTCGCAGGGAGGGAGGGAGGCAGGAAGGGACCCAGGAATCCAACGTATTGACAAAAAAACGCGACGAGGGTTTTTTACAGTTTTCGGCCTCAAGGGGCCCTTACCGGGCCTCGGGACCGTCAAAAACCGACTCAGGATGAAAAACCGGGCCTGGGGAATGGGTCGAGACTTCCAGGGACCCCGTAGTGAAAAAATCACGACATCGGATCTCAGGGGGGAGAGAGAGAGAGAGAGAGAGAGAGATGTTCAGAGCTCGGAGACTGGAGCAGACATACATTGCCAGTGGCGGGCTGACCCCAGAACTTTCTGAGGGTCGGGGACGACGTCGGGGTGGTGTGGTGTGTACTTGCTTCCCCGCTTTCCCAGGGAAGCGACGGAAAATGTACACCAGGACCCCGAATACACCACGATCCGCTTGCCTGTGCGGATAGGCCCAATATGTAGGAAAATCCGCCGATCCGGCGTGTGAGTTCCTGAGAGCGTGGGCTTGAGTTCGCTGAAGCTTCGCTCTGTCGGGGGGGACTGACGCCATGGCTGACGCCATTCAGGACCGGGAAGGGGGAGGGGGGGGGGAGCTCGCTCAAGGTTCGCTCTGTTTGGGGGGGGGGGGGGGCTGACGCCATAGCTGACGCCATTCAGGCCCAGGAGGGACAGGGGGGGGGGGACGCCATGGCTGACGCCATTCAGGCCCTGGAGGAGGGAGTCGGGGGGAGGGGCTGACCAGTCAGGCCTGGGTCAGGCCCGAGGGAGGGGGGGGGGTACGCCATGCCTGACGCCATTCATGCCCAGGAGGAGGGAGTCGGGGGGGGGGGGGGGCTGACGCCATGGGGGAGGGGGGCGGGCAGCTCGCTGAAGCTTTCGCTCTGTCGGGGCGGGGGGGGCTGACGCCATAGCTGACGCCATTCAGGCCCGGAGGGAGGGGAGGGGGGGACGGACCATGGCTGACGCCATTCAGGCCCGGGAGGAGGGAGTCGGGGGGGGTGGGGCTAACGCCCATGGGCTGACGCCATTCAGGCCCGGGAGGGGGGAGGGGGGGGGGGGGGGGCGGAGCTCGCTCAAGCTTCGCTCCGTCGGGGGGTGGGGGCTGACGCCATAGCTGACGCCATTCAGGTCCACCAGGAGGGGGAGGGGGGGGGGGGGAGATCAAGCCTGGGAGGAGGGAGTCGGGGGGGGGGGACGCCATGGCTGACGCCATTCAGACCCGGGAAGGGGGGGGGGAGGGGGGGGGGGGGGGGGGAGGGAGCTCAAGGTTCGCTCTGTCGGGGGGGGGAGGGGGCTGACGCCATAGCTGACGCCATTCAGGCCCAGGAGGGGGCGGGGGGGGAGGGGAGGGGGTGACGCCATGGCTGACGCCATTCAGGCCCGGGAGGAGGGAGTCGGGGGGGAGGGGGAGGAGGGCTGACGCCATGGCTGACACCATTCAGGCTCGGGAGAGGAGAGGGTGGGGGGGGAGGGCCGTCGCCATGGCTGACGCCATTCACGCCCGAAGAGGGCTCCAAGACGGCCCAAGAAGGGCCCAAGACGGCCCAAGAAGCCCCAAGGAGGCCCCCAGAAGGCCCCCAAGAGATTCAAAAACTTCATCCAGCGCGCCCCCAAGAAGCCTCCAGGATGCCTCCAAACAGCCCCCCGAGAAGCCCAGGAGCGCCCCCCAAAGGTGTCATACATCAGCTACGTCAACATCCCGTGAGTTTGGCTGTTCACGCGAGATCGTCACTTTCGAGTGTCCGAAGGTTGCCCAAGCGAGTTCAACATCTCTATCTTATGAGGATGATTCGAGCGAGTGCTCAACCTAAAAGGTCATCCGCTGCAAGCAGAGTCGGTAGCACCTCGGCTTGGCGGCACTGGCTGGAGGCCACCACAATATGCAAAACAACCGGGGATTGGAGCCAGTCCTGTGGCCTTCTGGGGCCTCCTGCTCTTGGAGCCTCGTGGGGGTTCCCGGGGCCTTCGGGTCCTCCCGGTGCCTCCTGGCGCGTCCTGTGGCCTCCTGTGGCCTCCTGGGGCCTCCTGGGGCCTCCTGGTGCCTTCCTGGGGCGTCCTGGGGCTCTCCTGGGGCCTCCGTGCGGGGCCTCCGTGCGGGGCCGGGAAGCGCGTCGGTTTATAGAGTTCGGCTCCGAGGGAGAGAGAGAGAGCGAGAGAGAGAGAGAGAAAAAAGAGAGAGAAAAGAAAGAGAGAGAGAGAGAAACAAAAAAAAAAAAAAAAACACGTCGGCGAAGGTGTTGTTCAATCTGGGCGCTGTTGCTGGATCTCGGCCTCCGGGGCCCGCTCTCGGGCCCCCAGTGGCGGGGCGGCCCGCCGTGGACCCGGGGCGAGGGCGGGCCCCCCGGGGAGGGAGAAGGGCAGACGGGGGGCCGCGCACTGGACAAGAACGTGTCGTCGGATGCCTTGGGAGGGGCGCGCGAGGCGTCTCGGGAGCGGAAAAAGAGGGGGGTGATGACCAGGGAGAAGGACAGAGGGGGGCCGCGCGTTGGACAAGAACGTGCCGTCGGATGCCTTGGGAGGGTCTCCGGCCGCCTGGGGCCCTGGCCGCCCGCGCCCGCCCGGGCCCCACGGGGAGGGAAAAGGACAGAGGGGGGCCGCGCACTGGACAAAACGTGCCGTCGGATGCCTTGGGAGGGGCGCGCGAGGTGTTCTGGGAGCGGAAAAGAGGGGGGTGATGACTAGGGGGGGGTGGATGTCATGGCGCGGGCCATGATTTTTCCTCGGATTTCATGGCGCCTCGTTTTATTTCATTACGTCCCTCAGATTCCCACTGTTTGGTGTCGACTGTGGGGCCATGATTTTTCCTCAGATTTCATTGGTCTCCGGCCGCCTGAGGCCCCGCCCGCCCGCGCCCTGTCTCCCTAAATAGGGGCTACCCGCGTCCCGTCTAGCTCTTGACCGGAAGGGGCCCGCTCCCGACCCGCCGACCGAAGAGTCTTGAGAGGGGCGCGCGAGTTGTCCGCGTTTGTCTTCGTCTGCATTGGCATGGCCACGGGGAGGGAAGAAGGACAGAGGGGGGCCGCGCGCTGGCAAAAACGTGCCGTCGGATGCCTCGGGTCATGTCGGGCGTGTCCCCATGCAGGGGGATTTTCGACAAAAAATAAAGAATACCCCAAACATACCCCAAGAAGGTCAAAAAAGCTTCAAAAAATAGTCCCCAGACTATTTTTGGCGTATTGTTTGATTATTTTGGGGGTATTGTAGTGGCCTTCGGCCAGTGCCGCCGATCCGGGGCGCTCCGACTGATGTGATCCTTCTTCGCCCTCGTCCCTCCTCTCTTTTTCCCTCCCCTCCTCTCACTCAGCATTTATCGAAGACGCCTACGGCGAATCACCGCCGCCCCCTGCCTTTTTGGGAGCGCCTATGTGGCCGAACGTTGAGGCCAGACCTCCTGCCAAGCTATCGGACCACGTGTTCCCTGCATCTTGGCCGTCTTGGAGGCCTCTTGGGCAAGCTTTGGGCGATCTTTGGGGCTTTTTGGGCCGTCTCGGGCCAGCTTCGAGCCAACTTCGGCCATCTTGGTGGGTTCCTGGCACGTCTGAAGCCGTCGGAAGCCGTTTGGGGGGCCTCTATGGGCCGACTTGGGGCCCGCTTGGAATGCTCCAGGGCCGTCTTGGAGGCCATCTTGGGCGTGGGGGGGCCCGCTTGGAATGCTCCAGGGCCGTCTTGGAGGCCATCTTGGGCGTCTGGGAGGCCATCTTGGGCGTGTTGGAGGCCTCTTGGGCCCTCTTGGGGCCCTCTAGGGGCCATCTTGGAGGCCACTTGGGCCATCATGGGGCTCTCTTGGGGGCCTCTTGGGCGATCTTGGGGGCTTCTTGGGCCGTCTTGAGCCGTCGGAGAGCCGAAAAGGCGCAAATGCCAAAATCCTTCAAAAACAAGGGAAAATCAATGATTTTGGCCTCTTCGGACTCTCCTGGAGGACCTCTTGGAGGCCTCTTGGGCCGTCTGGGAGGCCTCTGGGGGGCCTCTTGGGCCGTCTTGGGCCGTCTTGGACTCTCTTGGGCCGTTTTGGAGGCCGTCTTGGACCATCTCGGGCGGACTTGGAGGCCATCTTGGGCCATCTTCGCGATTTTTTGAGGATGTCCCGAGCGAAACGGCCGTTTTTGGGCATTGACAGATGGGTTTTCGGAAATTTGCGGGTGGCCGGCGGGACGGGCCGAAGCCCATTGGGGAGTTCTTTTAGAAAAAGAACCAAAACCAAAACCTGAATCATCCAGCACGCCGTGCACCCCTGCAAGCAGGGGGCGGCGGATCCAGTGGCCGTCGGCCTATCCCGCCACCGTGCGTGGGTGGTGGGTCAGAGGCCTCATGGATGCTGATTGGGATCTCGTGGTTGGCTGGGACTTCTGGGGGCCTCTTGGGCGCCTCTTGGGGCTTCTTGGGGGCCTCTGGGCCTCTTGGGGCCACTAGAGCTCTTGGGAGCCTCTTGGGGCTTCTTGGGGGCCTCTTCTGCGCCCCTTGGGGCCTCTTGGAGGCCTCCTCGGAGCCTCTTGGTGCGGGAGGGGTGGTACTCGAGTTCGGAACCCCCTCGGAGGCCACGATCCTTGTGAGGGGTGTCAAAAAACGCATCCGCCGGAAACTCGCCCCCCCCCCCCCGTCCCCACCCCCCCTTCCCCGGCAGAGCCACCCCGGCAACCCCCCCAGAGGCTGAGGCTCAGCCTCGAGGCTGTAGCTGAGACTCCTTGAAACTCACACGCCGGATCGGCGGATTTTTCATTTCTCGTCGAAAATCCCCCTGTAGGGGGACACGCCCGACTGAAGGACAGATGTGGGCCGCGCGTTGGAAAGAACGTGCCGTCGGATGCCTTGGGAGGGGCGCGCGAGTTGTCCGCGTCTGTCTTCTTCTGCATTGGCATGACCATGTCAAGGGTCGCTTCACGATCCGCATGCGCTGTGGCCGCGGCCGTGAAGGGTCGAAGCGCATCCGAGTTGAAGAAGCCCCGAAGCCTGACGCGCAGGTATCCTTTGAGACAAAACACGCCCCCATGTGCCCGTGAGACAGAGGAGCAAGAGGTCATGATCATGATACGGTCCAAGATTTCCCGGATTTCCAGTATTCGGAATACTGGGAGTCCGGGGAATCCGGGAAATCTTGGACCATAGAGTCGCACACAGGCTGCAGGAACGTGGACCGCTGGATACTCTGCACTCCTCCAACGCATCATGGGCCAATCGCATCATGACGTCATTGTGGCCGTAGCAGAGAAGAAAATCTTGTCACACGCACCAGGGGGTGGCGCAAGAGGGCTCATGGGGCTGGTCGTTTCCCCCCCCCTTTGGAGGGGAAAACCAGCAGAAACAAGCTTGTGTTGTAATGAATCGTGGCGTCTAGGGCCATTCAGGGCGCCCCAGAAGTCACGCGTCAAGCCCCGGGAGTTCTGACAATTAGGGAGACGGCCCCTTGTTGAGCGCGTGCACAATATTCAAAACGCACAGAGAGCACGAGGGCACCTGAGGGCATTCAGCTCAGTGCTGACGGCACCGCGGCGGATATCGACCATTTGGGTCGTCGACGGCGGCCACGGCGACGATCACGATCGACGACTGCAGTCAAACCGCATCATGAGGATGAGCAACTTATTCCAAGGGGCATTATCTTGGCACCCTTGCCCATCATAGCCTTTGGCCCCTAGCCATGGGCCATGGACTTTCAAGTTCGGTTTCGACTTGGGCGTCCAATGGCCTTGCATCCTTGCGTCGCCTCCTCATGATCCAGTCGCCCCGTGCGACGACTACGACGATGACCAAGGCCACGACCACTGCGACGGCCACGACCACGACCACGAGCGCGACGACCACGACCACAGCGACGAAGACGACGACCACGACCAAGACGACCACTACGACTGACCCAGACATCCGACGATGCCTGTGTGCGCTTTTGTTCAATTCGCAGCCCCAGAGCTCCCGACCCTTGCCCTGGGGTCAATCTTTCGGCCTGGATCCATTTTTGGTGGCCCCCGGGGCCCCAGAAGGGCCGAAATCTGTAGAACCTTAGCTTGGCGAAAGGCCCAACCAGATGCACTTGGGAGCACCGTCGTTGTATGCACCGCATTCGGAGGAGCTCCCTCTAGGGGCACGAAACGCGTGAGGGGTGTGCCAAAAGTTGCGCGGTGGGCGCATGCGAAAGCAGCCTTTGGGGCCGTCGGTGGAATTCCCTATGGGGCCACGAAACGTCTGAGGGGTGTGCCAAAATAGGTGCGGTGAGCGCACGCGAACACAGCCACTGGGGCCGTCGGTGGAGTCCCTATGGGGCCGCGAAACGTGTGAGGGGTGTGCCGAAATTGACGCGGTGGGCGCATGGGAACGCAGCCATTGGCGCCCTCGGTGGAGCTCCCGATTGGACCACGAAACGTGTGAGGGGTGTGCCGAAATCGGTGTGGATGACGCATGCGGGCGGTCGCACTGTCGTTTTCGGTGGAGCTCTCTATGGGGCCGCGCAACGTGCGAGGTGTGTGCCGAAATGGGTGTGGGTGACGCATGCCGGCGTTGGCGTTAGGGCCTTTGGTGGAACTCCCTACGGGACCACGAAACGTGTGAGTGGTGTGCTGACATGGGTGTGGGTTGACGCATGTGGGCGGTGGCACTCGGGCCTTCGGTGGAGCTCTCTATGGAACCATGAAGCGTGTGAGGTGTGTGTGTGTGTGTGCCGAAAGTGGTGTGGGTGACGCATGCGGGCGGTGGCACTGGGGCCTTCGGTGGAGCTCCCTCGAAACCCACGAAGCGTTTGAGTGGTGTGCCGAAATGAGATGGGTGACGCATGCGGGCTGTGGCACTGGGGCGTTCGGTGGAGCTCCTTATGGGGCCACGAAACGTGTGAGGGGTGTGCCGACATGGGTGTGGGTGTCGCGTGCGGGCGGTGCCATTGGGGCTTTCGGTGGAGCTCCCTGTGTGGCCACGAAAACGTGGGAGGGGTGTGCCGACATGGGTGCGGGTGACGCATGCGGGCGGTGGCACTGGGGCCTTCGGTGGAGCTCCCTGTGGGGCCACGACACGTGTGAGGGGGGGCCACAGTGAGGGGGGTGACGGGAGGAGGGAGGAGGGGGAGCAGGAGGGAGGAGGGAGACGCGGGGCGCGGTCTCTTCAAAACGAGGGCCCAACACCACAGGATTGCTGGGAAGTCACGGGCTTGGAGCAAAAGAAATGCCCTCGAAGAGCAGGGCAGCCGACCGCGGCGACGGCCACGGCCGCGAGCGCGACGCCCGCGCGACGGCCTCCGACGGCCGCGGAGCCGCGCGACGCGCGGCAGCCCACCGCGGCCGCGGCGAGAGGCGGCTCGCCGTCGCCCTGGCCCTGCTCGTCGCGGCGGACAGGCCCCCGCCGCGCTCGCCGCCCCCCCCCGCCGATCGGCGTGGGCCCCCCGAGGTTCCCGCACGCTCCTCCTCCTCCTCCTCCTCCTCCTCCTCCTCCTCCTCCTCCTCCTCCTGTTCTCGAGCGTCGTCCCCCGGGCCCCGCCCCGGCCGCTCTCGCTGGCCGCGCCCCGCGCGCGGAGCGCCGGCACGGCCTTGCAGGGGCCCCTTTTGCTGCATCCGCGGCATGCGTCCCTGGTGTGCGGGCGTGGGCCGTGCTCGCCGTGGAGAAAGTCACGGCCCCGCGGTTACGGTAGGTTTGCGTCGTGTCGACCAGCGGCGACCCCAGCGCGGGCGTTCAAGGTTGAACGCCGCCGGCGACCCAGAATCGGGCGATGTTGAACGATCGGACGTTGCAGCAGCGGCCGATCATTCAAGGTTGAATGATCCCTGCGGTGTCAAAACCCAACGCTGGGGTCGGCACGACACGAACCTGCCGTACCTCCCACGGGTTGTTTTTTGCCAGTCGTGGCGTGTTGCTTGGATTTCGGCCCTCGCGGGGTACTTTCGGGTGGCCCAGGGCATCAAACATGGACCTTGGGCCAAACAATTGGCCCGCGGAAGGGAAGCGATCGGGACCTCTGGGGCCGCGGGCTGAAAAATAATATCGTCGGATGCTTGGGCTTCCGCCGTTGAAGAGAACCACTGCGTGTTCTGGCGGCCTCGTCGGTCCCCGGAGGCTTTCCTGCCTCCGGGTGCGATCCAGCGGCCGTGCCTCGCCGAGGGCGTTTCGGGGGAGCTGGACCGTCCCCCTTGCGGCCGCTGGGGTCCGAGTTGTGCTCCGAGGGCCGCGTGATGTCGCCCTGCCCCGAGTCATGACCCGAAGGCCGAGTGACTTCGCCTGCCCCCGTTGCTAGCACCCGTTGGCAACGAGCCCCGAGAAGGGCCTCGCCTTCGAGGGCCACGGGTGTAGTCATTCAGAGGAGGAGCCGCTGCTGATACCACTGCGCGCCCCGCTTCGCCATGGCTGGATTCGTTTCAACACCTTGGTCAGGACGCACCCTGGGAGAGGTCTGGGCAGCAGCGGTACCGGCACCTTCGTGTCCTTCCCGACGTCTCTTCCTTTGCGCAGAGCGGCGGAAAGCCTGGGGGAAGCGGAAGATGTCCCCTCGAGTGATGGCATGCTGTTTTGTCCAGGGCTTGTGGATTCCGCCATGTCGATCCGATGGATCCAATTCCGTAGCTATTTGGGTCGAAGTCACTTTGGCTCCAGTGCGAACCACGGGCCCTGGCAGCTCGTGCCTGTGTGCAGCCATGGGGCCGGCTCGACGGCCCCCATGTCCCCGGCAATGGTTGCCAAGTTCACGCTCGCCTGCTTGAGCTGCCAAGCCCAGCAGGTTTTCGGTTCGTCTCGGTTTTTCCCATGGGCCGAGACCATGACAAGGATGGTGGAGGCTGGCAATGGCAGAGCGGCTCCTCTAAGTCGCAGCAGCAATTCCACGAGCCCTGCACTCATTGCAGGTACTGCTGGAACCTCAAGAACGATCATTGGCGCTACCAATGCGCAGGGCCGTTGGTGGCGAACCCAGCAGCAGATCGTCGTGTTCGGGGCCATTGGGCCTTCGGCCCCCAGCTATCCAGGACCCGCCGCTCCGCGACGCCGGCGCCGACCCCCCGTTCAGTTCCACTCCAGCGGAGGCTTCGTACATTGGCAAGGGTGGCGGCAAGGAAGGCAAGCCCCCCCCCGCCCCCCAAGGGTCGTGGCAAAGCGAACCCCGCCGCGGTCTCCAAGCGCCCGTGGGTTTACCACCAGGGGTGGTACCCTTAAGGTGGCATTCTTCAAACGACGGCCACCAAGATCACCAAGGATCCTGAGGATCCGTTGGCGGCGCTCCGCGCCAAGCTCGGCTCCGAGTGCGAGGAAGAGTCAGCCAAGTTGGAGGCGTTCCTGTCCGAGGCAGATGCACCGACTTCTGCACCCCCGCGGCAGCCGCTTCTGGAGGAGGACGTCTCGACCAAAGGCTGTGCGCACCGCCGCGCCAAGTCGCGGCTCGAACACTGCTTTCAGAAGGCGCTGGAGGCCGAGACCTGGCTGCAGGAAGCTCGTGCAGCGTAAGACCAGGCGGTGTCCGCGACACATGAAGCCAAGTTCTCGCTGGAAACGGCGTGGGCGCAGCAGCCCCCGTCCCGTGCGAAGGAGAAGGCACCCACTGCTGAGGGCGCCTCGTCGCTCAACCGGTCGCCCCTCCTGTTCAGCGAGAGCGACGTCGAGAGCCACACCATAGTTGACGGCCCCATGTTCAGCACGGAGGGCTTGGATCTCCGACTTGCAGGAGTGGGAGAGGGTCACGCCCAACATTGCCGCGGGCATCAAAGCGGAGACCGCCAAGGCGTTCGGACCCACTGCAGGGAACTTCACCACCTTCCGCAAGGAAGCTAGGAAGATGTCTCTGCACATGCAGGCTAAGCGCAGGCGCGGCGCCAGCAATGAGGACGTCGGCGATGCTGGTGCAATCGATGCTGCTATGCTTGGCGGAGGATCTCCACCTGGAGGCTGCAGCGCCCACGCAGGCAGCGGGAGCGGCAGCGCCGCCTCATCTGCTCCAGCTGCGCCTACGGCGACGGAAGGGGCTCGACGACCTCCGCGCTGCAGCCAGGCAGAAGGCCCAGGACGTAACCAATGCTTCCAAGGCCGACAAAGACAAAAGCGAGGACTCTAATTAGCCGAGGCGTTACCTCTGGAGGTCACACAGTGCCAGTCTCTGATAAGATGTTTCGGACTGCCTCTGAAGAGCTGGCTTTCGATTCAGATCTCGCAGTCATCGACCGCAAGGATCCACGTGCGTTATGGTGGTCAGCTTGTCCCCGGTCACGGTGACGTCTTCCTGTCCAGCGCAGATCCACGAAATCCACGCGCAGCGCCAAAAGTCTATGTGTCGGAGGCTGGGGGGTGGGCCCCAACCGGGAAGAAGCGAAGCTGCATGCGCGCGAGAGGAACGAACCCGCCGTTGCTAGGTCGAAGTCGAGACAAGTGATTATCCCCCTCCCGCCCGTCCGGCGGTGGCCCTCGGTGTCCCGCGGTGTCCCGCGGTGTCCCGTGGTGTCCCGTGGTGTCCGCCGTTGCTAGGGCGAAGTCAAGACACAGGATTATCCCCCTCCCGCCTGTCCGGCGATGGCTCGCGGTGTCCCGCGGTGTCCGCCGTTGCTAGGGAGAAGTCAAGACAAATCATTATCCCACTCCCGCCCGTCTGGCGGTGGTTCGCGGTGTCCCGTGGTGTCTTGCTGAGTGAGATCGATATTGAGATCGATACTGAGATCGATGTGGTGTCCCGTGGTGCCCCAAAAAGTAAGATCGATAGTGAGATCGATAGTGAGATCGATGTGGTGTCCCGTTGTGTCCCGCGGTGCCCCGCTGAGTGAGATCGATACTGAGATCGATGTGATGTCCCGAGGTGTCCCGTGGTGTCCCGTGGTGTCCCGTTGAGCGAGATCGATAGTGAGATCGATAGTGAGATCGGCAGGTGTCCGGTGGTGTCCCGTTGAGTGAGATTGATAGTGAGGTCGATAGTGAGATCGATAGTGAGATCGATGTGGTGTCCCGTGGTGTCCTGTGGTGTCCTATGGTGTCCCGTTGAGTGAGATCGATAGTGCGATCGATAGTGAGATGGGCAAGTGTCCCGTGGTGGCCCGTGGTGTCCCGTGGTGTCCCGTTGAGTGAGATCGATAGTGCGATCGGCGAGTGTCCCGTGGTGTCCCGTGGTGTCCCGCGGTGTCCCGTTGAGTGAGGTCGATAGTGAGATCGGCAAGTGTCCCGTGGTGTCCCGTGGTGTCCCGTTGAGTGAGATCGATCGTGACATCGATTGAGTCAGATGTTGGTTCCCCCCCTCCCCCCCCCACAACCTTCTTATGACCCGAAGGGTGGTCATATAGGTATGCAGTTCTTTGTTGCTCTGACGTTTGGTTTGTTAACCTCGAAGACAACAGCTCCCGACCCGCATCCCGGAATATTCCGCCTCGCTTCTTCGACGCATGACGGCTGCATGCAACGGCCGCCAGGCCCCAAGGGGGTATTCCGCTTCGCGTTCCCGGGCAGGGATGGCTATCCCGCCCCGACGGGCATTGGGACACGCCCGCGCCAGGAAGGGGTGCGTTCGGTGGTAAATCATGGGAGCCTGGTTTACCCTTTAGATTCCGTCTTTAGTATCGATTCGCGTCTATGAGTCGATGAGATAGCGCCGATTTAGCGTCTGTCAGCGTCGAGTAGCGTCGAAATAGCGTCGACTAGCGTCGGCTAGCGCCGGCTAGCGTCGATTCGCAAGAGCCGACAAGATGGAATGGGAGGCTCCCATGAGTTGCCACCGAAGGTGCGCGGGGGGTGACTGCCAAGTTCCCTGGACACTATACGGTTCCTGCATTGGACGCAGAGGGGGCTGGCGTTGGAAACTCTTGTCTTCGCTGTCCCATAAGCGACGCTGGGAGCCCCAGAACCACCCGGTGCGCTGCCCCGTGGCAGATACCCTTGAGTGGAGCTATGAGGCTCCTGAACAACATGCCGAACTTACCGTAAGTCGAGGAGCAAAAAACTGCATAAAGACGTGTCGGCGCTCCGCGCGGATTCCTTCGATCGGGGCCCAGGCCCGCCTGGCGGCGCCTTCGGCGCCGCCCCTGGCGCGTTCGCGCGCCAGGGAGGGGGTTCAGCGCGCGCAGGTCCAAGAAATGCGCCCGGCCCTCCAAGAAATGTTTAAATAAGCTCTGCTGGGGACCCTAAGTGCCAGAGCTTGGGGGGCAGACGGCAGCGGCCGAGAGGCCTGGCGAATAAAAAGTCCAGGGCGCACAGAACCTGAATATCCGACACAGCAACAGCAGATGAGAGCGACCACATTACAAGCACGAGCGAAAGTGAGGGGTCTGCGCCCCAAGTAAAGTTCAGAGCACTCGCCGACATCATGCTGCAACCAGCCCTCCACTCGGAGGGCCCACAGGTACCTGACCTTCATGGGCCTTCAGGGGCCGATCACGCACAA